CAATGGACATGTGCCATGAATGAAATCTGTAGAAATATATACTTGAACTTATGTTTGTATTTTGAACTGGAATGTGACTATTCTCCCTTAAGAATACCTGAATGTAATTTTGGTTTAGTCCACTAGGAGGGGCTATAGGTACTTAAGGAGAAGCCAAGGAAAGGAGGCTCCTAACAACCACCTGGAAGAGCTGGTCAACACCAAAACTGCCCCCATCAAAAAAAACAGCACTTAAAGCTCTCATCTCTGAGAGAGAGGAGAAAATCAAGCTGCTTCAGATCTGAAAACATCCACAGGTGTTTCTGTCCATCCTTCCACTGTGAGAAGACGACTCAGCGCTGTGGGCCTGAAAGGATGTGTAGCTGATCAAGAAGAACCTCACTGAGAAAAGGAGACGGACACATCAAACAAAGAAGCTGAACGATGGACTGACCACCCCAGAGTCCAGACCTCAACACCACTGAATGTGTTTGGATTGTGACCAAATTCTAAGTCTGAACTTTGAAGGTGTGGAAAAACATCCCTGCAGATTTCTTTGGAAGAACTGCAGCTGTAATAAAGGCCTAAGTGGTAACATTAAAATCTAAAAATGTGTTATATTTTCTGTTAAATATGTTTTCTGTTTTTTCCTTGATGCTGAATGAACAGCTTGTATGTGATGATCTTTTTGACTGGAAATTAATTAAATGAAGGGAAGGTTTATGTAAAATCTAAACTCTCATCTACACTTAGAAAGTCAACAAACTAAAACATTTAAATGTGGCAGAACTTTTAAACAGGCCACATTTTATTTTCTCCCAATATGTTAAATTCAGCAAATAAACAGTAACTGAGCGTTAAAGTGTGCAGAAGTGTTAGCTTGGAGGATGCGGTAACTTATTTTCACTTAGAAAATCTGTAATGTATTTATGTGTAGTTTGACCAGGGGGTGTTAAAACTTTTTCAAACAATTGCAGATCACAACACATGGTCGCTTTTATCGTTTATATGGATAAACCAATAAACCCTGGCAAACCAATCCCAACTGAGCTTCTTTCCTCAAACACATGGTCAGTGTCGCCGTGTTCCTCCTTTTTCGTCGATTTTTTACTTTTTGGTGTGATTTGAAAACTCCAGTTTCTCTTTTACACTGTGTTGACACTCCAAGATGAACAGACCAACAGAACTGGTCCAAAATCACTGAGAAATCTCTCACTCCATTACCTTCTATTACAGGTTAGGAGTGTTTTTACCTTCTACTTAGAGCTGGGCGATATGGCCAAAAATGTTATCACGATAAACAAAATTCATATCGTTCGATATCGATACAAACCGCGATAAATGCCAAATCATTATTTCTTTCAAGTTTGAAGGCTGATTTTGGTCCTGGGTGGTTAATTGCTGTTTTAAACTATGCTTTATGGTCGGAACACGACAAACACTCAGCAAACAGGGGAACATTTCACAGATCTGTCATGGGAGAGTGGGAGAGTGGGACAGTGGGACAGTGGGAGAGAGTGTCTGCTGAGCTGTTTTTACCAGCTGGAAAAGCACGGCTATCTTATAATAGTCCTAATTTAAGAAAGAAAACAGATTATGTTTAGCTGGTGCCGAGCGCTCGGCTACCCCGCTACACATGACATCACAGTATTCAGACACCAGCTAGACGACTGGATTTCTCTATACTGTCGTAATAACATTAGTTTAAGAGGTGAACCGCAAAATATCAACACCAGACAAACAGAGTCCTCCTTTAGGTACGTTTAAACTGAAAGCAGTGCTTTTGTGTCGTGTTTGATCTACAGTATCATCAGTTCGTCGTGCTGTGTGAGTGACGGAGCTGCTTCAAGTTAGCCAGCTGCTAAAAACAGCTAGCCTGGAAAGCTAGCGCTCTCCCGCTCTCCACTGCCTCACAGCTTCCTCAGTTTACTTTCGTTTAAATCAGGGCTGTAATTTACATGAACCACTTCTTTCTTTCACCTTTGTTGCTTGGGAATGCACTCATACTTAAATATGACTGAGCGCTGTAACAGTGCTGTAGTTGTGAGGATTGTGATTTAACACTGCTAAAGCTGTTAGGATGTTAGTAAAGAGTTGAGTTCACTGTAGGTCAGTACAGTTACACCACTGACCTCGTCACTCACACTCGGTCATAGGAGGACAGATCGCCTGTCGTTCCGCTCAAACAGGGACTATATAACTCCGCGTTTCAGCCGTTGCTAAAGACTCATCTTACTCGTTGCCCCCTCCCTCTCTAAACATGTAGAAAAACTCAGAAGTGCGCCCTCTCCTGGCGACAGCAGAGTAGTGTCGCTTTCCTTGCAGTAGAGAACGCCAAGGCTTTCGCTGAACGTGAAAGTGTGAGAATGGTGTATGATATCGAACATTTATCGAACATGTCGTATCGCTCTATCGAGGAAAAGTTATTTCGCGATAATTATCGTTATCGTTTTATCGCCCAGCCCTACTTCTACTGTAAACATGCTATGTTTAGATATGAGGCTCTGAGGGCGACGATGTGTAATGACTTTTTTAGCCTCCTCTGAGAGACAATTGTGTACAGTAGAAATAACATTCGAGGCTCTGACCATGGAGGCTCTGACCATGGAGGCTCTGACCCGTCACTCTCTAAACACCCATTCTTTACCTCAGGTACGTTTTGTAAGGATTTGTCGAGGATAATGCATTTCAAGGTGGACCTTCAGGGTGAAGTCGGGGTAAAAGCTAAACAGAGATTTTTCATACACTGGATTTGTTGGGTAATTTAGCACAACAAGACTAAGATAAAAATGTAGCAATGTATGGAAAACACGCCTTCATGATGATACATGAATAATTATATTTTTAGTTATATACTGTCAACAAGTAAAAGGCCACAAATCAGATTTTCATGGTAAAATGTTCTTCAGAATTACTGGAACACAGACAGATTGATCCGAAAAATACATAAAATACATACAACTGCTTTCATTCAGGGCTTATAAGCATTTAAAATTGTTGAGGATAAAAACACAATAAAGCCTTTAGGCTTATTTGCATGGTGGTCCTCTGAAAGATATCAAGATGACAGGCTGTAGTTGTCATGCAAGATAAATTAATGAAGTATTTCACCAACTGAACTGTTAAATCTAAACAGGGAAAACATAATTAATAAAAAAAACTGTCAAGGGGTCAATATGCTATGATGCCCCATCATAATTTTCATTCTGTGTGGCCTGTGTTGCTGTTTTGTGTGTTTTCCCTCTGTGTGTGTTACATTATGTGCAGGTCTGTGACTGACCACATGGGGGCGCTGACTGATTAGAGGTTGCCAGGCCTCTACCTGAACAGACATTGAGTTCTCTCTCCTCTCGCAACTAAAAACTAATAGATTTGAACCAACTAAACCTGAAAACAAAAAGAAATAAAATTACAAAAAGCCTAAACTACAGAAACGGTGCCTCCAGAGCAAGTTGGGCTAAAACAGTGAGTTTAAAAATAATAGTTCACTGAAAAATGTAATTTACACAATATCACTCCAAATGTGGTCAATCAGCGGTCAGTCAAGACATGTTTGGTGTCCAAAGGTTGATTCTTTACGGCTAGGATGCTAATGTAGCCAAACAAGTGAACAACAAATGAATCCAGCATTGCATTAAAACTGGCATTTTGGTGCAACAAACAATCATTCACTGTTTATCTGCTGAGATGGACAATAGCGAGTTGGGAAAGATATTTTTTGTTATTACATAAATTCTAATGCTGCTCTTGTATATGTTATTATTTTATTTTATCTACAAAGCATTTAGTTCATAAAAAACAATTTTTTAAAATGTAATTCCTGGAATGTCAGCTTTTACAATAGAAATGGAAATTATTACATACATATTATAATAATGCATACAATTATTACGTTACATACACTATATTGCCAAAAGTATTCACTCACCCATCCAAATCTTTGAATTCAGGTGTTCCAATCACTTCCATGGCCACAGGTGAATAAAACCAAGCACCTAGGCCTGCAGACTGCTTCTACAGACATTAGTGAAAGAATGGGTCGCTCTTAGGAGCTCAGTGAGTTCCAGCGTGGTACCGTGATAGGACACCACCTGTGCAACAAGTCCAGTCGTGAAATTTCCTCACTACTAAATATTCCACAGTCAACTGTCAGTGGGATTATAACAAAGTGGAAGCGATTGGGAACGACAGCATCTCAGCCACGTAAAATGACAGAGTGGGGTCAGCGGACGCTGAGGCGCATAGTGCGCAGAGGTCACCAACTTTCTGCAGAGTCACTCACTACAGACCTCAAAACTTTATGTGGCCTTCAGATCAGCTCAAGAGCAGCGTAGAGAGCTTCATGGAATGGGTTTCCATGGCTGAGCAGCTGCATCCAAGCCTTACATCACCATGCGCAATGCAAAGCGTCGAATGCAGTGGTGTAAAGCGCCGCCACTGGACTCTAGAGCAGTGGAGACGTGTTCTCTGGAGTGACCAATCACGCTTCTCCGTCTGGCAATCCGATGGACGAGTCTGGGTTTGGCGGTTGCCAGGAGACGGTACTTGTCTGACTGTGCTTTTTTCCACTGTGCCATCATTCAGCGTTACCATGGCAGCAGCGCCGAACAGCAGTTAAAGCCTGTAAACGGTGGAAAAGCAGCTCATCTCACCTTTTTCTCCTTCGTCTCGCTCTAATAATGAAGCTGAGAGCTGATCAGAGTTAATGATCTTCTCAGCGAAGCTCGTTCTGCTCGTTAGTTTGTTTTGATGATGAACGTGATTCGTTCACGTGACGTTACTGAGTAGGATGTGCGCATGCGGGTCAGTTCAGGACGCCGGTTCACATTAATGACAGATTTGAGTAAAAAATCGGATTTGAGCAGCGAGGCTCGTAATGTGAACGTAGCTTATATGATACACTGTGAATATATGAGACCAAACTGTCCACAGCGGTAGATTTATTTCTCAAGCTGCGGCCTGGACGCGTGTATTTCTGAGTCGTTTAGGAACTTTTATTTTGAAATGTGGCGGCGCGACTGCTGCGGAAGTCGTGTCGCTGCAGGGAAGAGTGAGCTGCTGAGCGCCGCCGCTGGTTTTCTCGTTATCTGTAGAAATATCTGCGCTTATTTGTGCGGATGGATCTGCCTGGCCCGGAGTGGACACAGCATGTAGAGCAGAGATGGACCCGGCTGGGATCCGCGAGCAGAGAGGGCTTTTCGCTGCTGACGGACACAGACGGGGTTTTCCGCTTCGCCCAGTCCGGAGTTCAGTCAGTGCCGTTCAGCTCCGTTACAGCCGTTCAGCCCCGTTACTGGGTCTGGGGGTTTCAGTGCTTTCACAGCCTCCCAGTGAGATTCACCCTGGATGCCCACTGTGCTCTAAGGGTTAACTCTTCCAGCGAGATAAGCACGTACTAAAGCTCCAATAAAGGGGGGATCAACCGGTTTTTCAAAATTTCTGCATAATCGAGTCGTTGAGATGTAAACAAAGTCATTCGGCGTGGTTCGGTGTGATACTTCGTTAAGGCTACGTTCACATTACCAGGTTAAAGTGGCACAAATCCGATTTCCTGCCCTAATGTGACTCAGATCTGATGTTTTCGGAGCTGTGTGGACACAAATCTAGTCTTTTCAAATCCGACCTGAACAGCTTTCATATGTGGTCCTAGATCGGATCCGATTCGTAGCCATGTGACCTTAGTTTGACCATAGATATAAATTACATTCCGAGATGCCGCGTTGTCTGCTGTTCTCTATCTGAGGCGGTACGTCAGCGCGCCCGCCATGTTGGAGCGGTCAAGATCCGCTTGTGAACAGATTCACTTGTATTGAGAGACGAAGAGTCTCAGGATTAAATCAGACTCAACTTCCTTACTACTCAACCGATTTTCACCACATCTGTTTAGTTATAATCCTCAGACACAGATTAATCCGGGCTGCTCGGATCTGCTCTCGGCAGCTTTTATTACTGTAATAACTGATCGTGATGATTAGTTAGCCGTCTGGACCAGCAGGAAAGTATTCAGTCTGTACCTGACGATAAAAACCGAGTTTAGCGCGAAAAACACAATCAGACACATCAGCAAGTCCATCAGTGTGTGAATCACTTCTAATCTTAATACACAGAAGGACGGAGCTAAAGTTGGCTTCCTATTCTCCAGCTTCTTGTTCCAGTGTTCCCGTCCCACCTTAAATGGTGCTGCAGTCAATTTCTGGTGCCTGAAGCTGCAGCATTTAAGGTGGAACGTGAAAATTCGAACAAGATCCTGGCAAATAGGAAGCTAACTTCAGGTTTGTGTAATAAGGTGCTAACGATAATCTGTACATCTATAACTACTACATAAAGTTAAGAATAGACTATTAAATGAAATAAGCTTAATATAAAACCAGAGGAAAAACAATCACATCAGCAGGTTCTCTGTGCCTCATTAACCACACGGCCATATCTACACAAACACCACACAGACATGAGTGTGGATCACTGCGTTCCCTCCGTTATATAATCCTGTCCCTCTTTCTGAGTGTGATATTCCTGAAATAGTGTAATTATGGTCAGTATCTTTATTAAACTGCCGCTCTGTAATGGTACCGAATGCAGTCCAGCAGCGATGTTGACTGCTCTAAAATGGCGGCGCCGTTGACGCGCCTGACTGGACCCAACGTGACATCTCGGTGTGAATATCTATGAATGTGACGCTCAGATCGGAATTAATGTGTTTTCTCCACTGTGCTGCGCCATCATTCAGCGTTACCATGGCAGCAGCGCTGAACAGAAGTTAAAGCCTGTAAACGGTGGAAAAGCAGCTCATCTCACCTTTTTCTCCTTCGTCTCGCTCTAATAATGAAGCTGAGAGCTGATCAGAGTTAATGATCTTCTCAGCGAAGCTCGTTCTGCTCGTTAGTTTGTGCTGATGATGCTCGTGATTCATTCACGTGACGTTACTGAGTAGGATGTGCGCATGCGGGTCATTTCAGGACGCCGGTTCGTTCACATTAATGACAGATTTGAGTCACTTACCTAAACGAGTGTGAACCGTCGTGTCAGAGAGATCGGATTTGAGCAAAAATCAGATTTAAGCGATGAGGCCTGTAATGTGAACGCAGCAGGACAGTAATCTGGGTGGTCCGAGGGTGGACGAGTGGCCACAGTGGGGTGCTGACCTTATCAAGCCAGCGGACTGATATATACTTGCTGTCTGGGAAGCAGAGGTTGTGATGTGTACAATACAAATATGGCCATTTTATTTACTGTTCAAAATCATCTGTGAAACAACTTTTCTTTGGGGTCTGTGCTTCACAGCGCCCTGCTATACCACTCTACCATAACTGTATGGAAGAAAAAGAATAAGCTTGAGGCTAAAACCTCTCAAAAGTATTGTAAAACAGTGTGTCAGTGATCAGACAGTGAATTCATAACCATTTCATGTAGTAACTTTCTGTGAGGGAGCTTTTAGAGGGGGACGTCTGGTTCCTGTCACCACCACTGTGAACAGTTCTGGTTCAGCAAGATTCTCTAGAACAGAGCGTTTCACACCAAACCACTGAATTTGTTTACATCGTAAACATTTAATTATGGAGAAATTCTGAAAACATGGTGAAGTTGCCCTTTAAAGCTAACGATAAAGATGATTTTGGCATGCTAATTTAATGCTAGTTCAATTAAAATAAGCGGTAGTGTTTTTAAACCTAAAATTACCAACAACTGAGGATCTTTAATAATGGCTTTCATTGTGTTCTCTCGGTCACTCCTTCATCTTTTTCCTGTCTCACTATTTCAATTCAGGCAAGAGGACCTTGAAGTTTTGTCCAGAATTTCTGAGAGGTTTCCTGTGAAGAAGTCTCCTGAATGTGCAGCCAGGTTTAGGGAACAAGGTAACCTCAGTTTTAAGATCAAGGACTACAAATCTGCTGCACTGTATTATTCCAAGGTAAGGAAAAGTTGTGGTGATGTGTTTATAATGCCAGCAGTGCAGCATAATGAATACTGTGATGTGAGCACAGTTAAGGGCAGCGAACAGCTTAACTTAAGTTAGTGTTAAACCTTTTTGAAAGTATTTTAGCAAGATTATATCTTTATACGAGCAAACTACACCGGTCAGGCATAACATTCTGACCACCTCCTTGTTTCTACGCTCATTGTCCATTTTATCAGCTCCACTTACTATATAGGTGCACTTTGTAGTTCTACAGTTACAGACTGTAGTCCATCTGTTTCTCTGATACTTTGTTAGCCCCCTTTTACCCTGTTCTTCAGTGGTCAGGACCCCCATGGACCCTCACAGAGCAGGTACTATTAGGGTGGTGGGTCATTCTCAGCACTGCAGTAACACTGACCTGATGGTGGTGTGTTAGTGTGTGTTGTGCTGGTGCGAGTGGATCAGACACAGCAGTGCTGCTGGAGTTTTTAAACACTGTGTGATGTAAAGTCAGAGACGATAGCTCATCTGCTGCTGCACAGTTTGTGTTGGTCATCCTCTAGTCCTTCATCAGTGGTCACAGGACGCTGCCCACAGGACACTGCCCACAGGACGCTGTTGGCTGGATATTTTTGGTTGGTGGACTATTCTCAGTCCAGCAGTGACACTGAGGTGTTTAAAACCTCCAGCAGCACTGCTGTGTCTGATCCACTCAGACCAGCGCAACAAACAGTACCTGCTCTGTGAGGGCCCATGGGTCCAAACTTACATAAAACAAAAACAGTCTTGGAAGTGCATATAGAGAAATATCTGTCTGACTGCTCTGAAAAACACGACATCTGTGACATTGTGAGATGTCAGCATCATTTACAGTGGTTTGATGTAAAAAGCTGCAGTGTAGAAAAACTTGCCAGCTCTGATTTTCTTTACAGTGGTGATGATGGGAACCAGAGGTTGCAGTGTCTACAGCACAAGAATATAGACATATAGCAATTTTATTTATCATCCAAGTCTACCAGTGAACCTATGCATGTCTTCTGGATTTTTATATGTAATGTTGATAATGATAAAGTGAAGGTAAATCAGAAAAACATAGTTTCCATATTTGAGACTGTTTTGCTGTACACCACTCAACACTTGCCTCTCATTCAGCTATGAATGGATTTATAAAAAAATACACTCCAGGCCAAAACCTTATTTCAAAACTATCATAAAATAATGTCAGAGGCATCAAGCAGTTTGTACATAACATTTCCTGCAGTAACTTTCTGTGAGGTAACTTTTAGAGGCACAAAACTCGAGACATCTGGTTCCTGTCACCACCACTGATCATGTGCGTCGCGTCATAGTGAGAGTTTATACCGTTCAACATGGCGGAGCAGAAACTGGTCTGCAGAGGAGACGAAATTTCTGCTCTGATCTTTAAAAGACGGCGGTGGGACGGACGTCCAGCTTATGTGTCTCAGAACACGACGTCTTCCTCTCGGCCTTCTTTAATAAGGACATGTGAAGGACGTTTTCCTGAGTCTGACATCATTTTAAAGCAGTTAAAAACACAAGCGCTGCTCACTGCTGCTCATCTCACTCTGACTGGACTCACGTGATGCTGGTTGTCATGGTAACGTCTACACTAAGCGGTTCTCCATGCATGAAATTTTGGATCGGATTACTTGTAGTGAGCATGTAAACAGAGATTTTTTCATCATTGTTGAGTAGAGTGAGAATAAACACCTCAGTCTGAATCTGTAATCAAAATGAATTCAGTCGGATTGGCAAAAATCTTTGCATCTAAACACAGACACTGACTGTTTACATTTCAAACATTTACTTCCGCAGAAATTTTGGAAAAATCTGTGGGGATTCCCTGTAACGCAGTTCATAAAGACTTAATAAGTGGTAATAAATTAAATCGAGCATGTTCGATTAAGTGATGAGAGAATGCGCTATAAAGGTTCAGAGTTTGGTGTCTTAACTGTTGGGATTGTAAACACTGAGTTCTAATTCTCTTTTTATATTTCAGGCTGCATGTCATGCTGGTAAAAGTACAGAGCAGCTGTCTTTATGCTATGCTAACCGTTCAGCTGCCCTCTTCCACCTTGGTCTGTACAGTGTAAGAGTCTTTTCCATGTCTAAATCAATTTTACCGCTTATCTTTCCCTGCCAGTGTTGTTTGTGTGTCACAGCAAGGTGTCCATATTTGAGATGTTGAGTGTTATTTGGCCACGTCTGTTATTTAGAAATGCCTGGAGGACGTCCAGCGGGCTCTCGATGAAGGCTATCCCAGCCACCTGCGGCACAAGCTGATGGACAGGCGCGCGCAGTGTGTGAATCGGCTCAAAGAACAGGATCAACCAAAAACGCCGTCCTCCAAACATCAGACGCCACAGACCGCAGATAAGAACGATGGGAATACCCGTCCGCCAACTGTTCACTTCACTCCCGAAAAGGGTCGTCACCTGTTGGCCGCTGAGGACAAGTCAGCAGGGGAGGTAGTGCTCGAAGACGAGGCTTTCAGCTTTGTTCTTATACCTGGCGATGGACGAGACACGAAGACCAACAAAGCCTGTATATTCGGAACAGAGGGCAGATACTGCCATCACTGCTTGTGTCTGACTTTGAGCACTGTGCCATGTGTGGGCTGTAGCTATGCCCAGTACTGTGGACAGAGGTGCGCAAGCGAGGCATGGAGACAGTATCACTGCTTGGAGTGCCCAGTTGGCTCGGAGCTGCTGGCCCTTGGAGTGCTGGCACATCTGGCCTTGCGAGTTGCTCTGAAAGCTGGGCTAAAGGAGGTCCAGAGGGCAAGACACAGTTGTTCCAACACAGATGATGTGCCAACGTCAGCATGTGTCAGAAGTGACACAAGCAACGACAAACCTGGCTCCGGCGGAGAAAGTTCCCACTCAGATCTGAATGTGGAAGAGTCCAGCAGGTGTTCTGACCATTCAGACTGCTACCATGGTAGATCATACCTGGGCATATACAGCCTGTTACCACATGTGATGAATCACCCCCCCAGCTTGCGCTTCCTGCTGGCTTTCACCATGGTGGCGCTCTCTCGGAAGCTGGAAGAGGTGGGGTCTTTACCCGAGGCATGGTCACGTCATGAGCAGGAAGGAGAGATTGGGGACTGGAGAGAGGAGCAGAGCATGCTGGGAGCTACAGCTCTGAGACACATGATGCAGCTCAGATGTAACGCTCAGGCTGTGACTGCAGTCAGAGTCAAAGGTCAGACTCTAGTCTCAACACCTTCATACTGCTTAAGTTCATAAGACACACGTTCACATTTCAGTGCTTTTCAGGGAAAATCCACCTTTTTTTCAAAACATTCCGCATTACTCAGTTTTCAGGATGTAAACAAAGTCATTCAGAGTGGTTTGATGTGAAATTCTCATTACAGAGAAACTCACCAACTTTCTTTACAGTGGTGGTGAATGGAACCTGGTGATGATGTTCACAATACAAATATAGCCATTTGTTTACTGTCCAAAACCACCAGTGGACCTACAACTGTAGAGTTTATATGTATTTATATTTTATTGTTTTATTTGAAATTTTTGGTACACAATTATCTCCGTACAAGAATGGTTCTATAAAGAACCCTGCAGAGAAAATAATTTTGACGAGTGCCTGCAAGCTTTATGGACTAGCTCCACCTACAGGCAGCGAGTAAAATTGGCCTAACAAAAAAGTCAGTTCGCTTGAATTAGTGGTTCCCTCCAAAAGCACCTTAAATCAGGACTACTCGCCTGACCTTTTACAGCGAGGCTGCAGTCCATGATCATGGCTTTGCCAGAGTCAGTTTATGGAGAGCCTGTCCACTTCCTGTTTCTCCCATTATATCAGAAACATCACTTCAACCCCATTTCCAGAAAAGTTGGGACGCTTTGTAAAATGAATGCAATGACACTGGACAATGGACACTGCATCCTCCAGACTAAAGACCTTCCAGCGTGTTATAAGCCCACAGTTCAAAAGCCAGCATCTCTGATGGTACAGGGGAGGATTAGTGCACATGGTATAGGTGTCTTGCACATCTGTGAAGGCGCCATTAATGCTGAACAAAATATACAGGTTTTGGCAACATGGTGCCACCCAGACAGCGTCTTTCAGAGAAGGCCTTGCATTTTTCAGCAAGACAGTGTTAAACCACACACTGCATCCATCACAGCAGCATGGCTTCACAGAAGAAGAGTCTGGGTGCTGAACTGACCTGCCTGCAGTCCAGACCCTTTACCATTTGAAAACATGCATAATGAAATGAAAAATCTGGCAAGGAAGACCCAGGAACTGTAGAGCAGCTAGAATCCTACATCAGACAAGAATGGGACAACATTCCTCTCCCAAACTCCAGCAGTTGGTCTCCTCACTTCCCAGACGTTTACAGACTGTTAAAGAAGAGGGGATGATACACAGTGGTGGACGCGGCCCTGTCCCAACTTTTCTGAGATGTGTTGCTGCCATTAAGTTCTAAATGAGTTAATATTTTTAATGAAATGCTAAAATGCCTCACTTTCAACATCTGATATGTGTTCTATGTTCTATTGTGAATAAAATATGGGTCTATGAGATTTGAAAGTCATTGCACCCTGGACATTTATTTACATTTTACACAGCGTCCCAACTTTTTTGGAATTGGGGTTGTATTTAACCCTAAAAGGGGTGCACTCTAAAAAAGATTAAGGACCTCTGCTTTACTGCCTTTGTTCATCTGACTGAGAAATGGAACAGAACAAAAACACAGATTGGCTCAGAGGCTCCAAGGACTGCGTATGGGGTGCTGCTCTATTTGCTCTAACTGAAGGCTAAATGTGGGTCACTTTCTTCTCTCCTAGAGGACGGCGGCCTAGCAGTGCAGTCCAGTGGGGAGGTCCGCATTGCCACTGCAGTTTTCCCCGTCCTCAGTCTGCTCAACCACTCCTGTTGCCCCAACACCAGCATCTCCTTCAGGCTGGGACTCGGCTCAGATGCTCCAGTTTCTTCGGCTCCAGGCGTCGCAGTGACCATCAGAACATGTAAAGATGTTGCTGCCGGACAGGAGCTGCTGCACTGCTATGGTATACAGATGAATATCATATGACAATCACAGCAAGTCTTTTTAATTCTCAAACAACTGCAGAATAATTTTACAGAGTCTATTTACAGTCACGTGCAAAAGTTTAGGCTCTTCTGGCCAAATGACGTTTTATTGATACGATACAATATGCTTTTAATCAGATAATCTGATTCTAACTGATCAAATGTCTGAAAAAGAAGTATCATGACATTGTGTATCATAAACGTTCAGTATCACAATATTTGTCATATCACCCACCTCTAATTTAACATATTGAAAAAAAAACATAAAATGTGGCCTGTGTAAACGTTATGGTGCATTTAATATTTTATGTTTTATTTTTTTCCAGTGTGTTAAACTTATGTGCAACTTTATGTGCAAAAAAAATGATATATTTAAATTTGTTCCCAGTAGATTTTCACTCAGAAAATCAACAAAACATGTAATTTGAGCAGAAGTATTTTAAAGGTTTGCATACAGCTGTCTGCCTTCATCAGAGGAAATGTTTGATGTAGTCTTGTCCTCCTCTCCCAGGCCCACACTGTAGCAGAATGGATGTAAGGGAACGCCAGCGCCTCCTGCTGGAGCAGTACTTCTTCCACTGCCACTGTGAGGTTTGCAAGAAGGAGCTAGCAGCTGGAACTGGGAATCTAGCAACAGCATCTCATGGGCTCAAGTGTGAAAGATGTAGAAGCTCCCTTCAGGTAGCGCTCCAGGGGCGGTCTTACAGAAACCTACTGTCTCTTTGTCTTAACTTAAGATCTGATAAGTCAAGATAAGATTTTCACAAATTCATATTACAGAAGCAAATCTGATCTTAATTCAGGAATCTTATCTTACGGCATCTTACCCAAATTAGGAAATCTTAATTTACTCGATCAAAGTCGACAATTAACTGTCATGCCTGTAACCTAGCAACTGACCGTATGTGCACAGCTGAAACGTGAACACATAATCAAAATAATCAAGTTTGTTAGCCAGCTGGCAACTGATATAAAAAGGATCAAATAAAAACAGAACACAGTAACTTTAAGACGCCACTCTGATAAACAGCATAAACCATATATATATATATATATATATATATATATATATATATATATATATATATATATAAAAACTTAATGTATATACATTGTCAGTGATATTACAGAAACGTAATGTCAAAAAAAATTGCTTTAAGATTGAAATATCTCAAAGTAAGAGACTAATTTTAATAAGTTAATGGTTAGATCTCCTTTTAAATATATTTCTGATAAATCTGGATTAAATTGGTTTCATGCGCTGCAGAAAGATTGCGTCAGTGGTGACAGTGAATAAAAAAAAACAACTCAGATTTGAGTCATTTTGTGTTGTTATGGTCAGTGATGTCTGTACTGATGGTGTTCAATGTAACAGACTCTTTTACACTTGAATTACATATAAAGATTTGTAGCCCATTTGCACCACAAACAGTAGAAAGACACAGTACTTGTTACTTGCCTACTATTACAAGTATTGCTCTCTACTTAAAAACTGGTCTGTGGTCAGCTGTGATGCTGTTTTCTATCCTGTAAAAATAAAGACACATGAAGAACTGTCTACTTTAGCCATTTGAGTTCAAGAAGATCATTCAGGACTTTGCTTGTCATTTCAGGCCCGTGCAGACGTCCATGTTTGTCCACAGTCGTCCTGTAATTATCGAATCTCAAACACAGAACTGCAGGGAAGAATACAGACGCTGCAGCAGCGCCTGGGCCGAGCAGTAGAGCTGATGGAGAATGACAGACTAGGTGAGGAGGAGAGTGTGTGGTTGGATGTGTTAACTAACCCCTACAGCAGGTTTAAAGCAGGTTTAAAGCCACGACTGAAAGCTTTTCTGCTCCATTTAATTGCCTTTATTGTGTTTATAAGTGAGCATGTTTTTTCCAGTGCAGATGTATGAAGGCAAAGTGAGCTGAAATGGATTAGAATTTAAAGTAGGAAATAATGTTTGTTTGTGTCTCACTGGCTGTTAGATGGGGCCCTAAGGGTCTTACAGGAAGCTGCCACTCAGGCAGACAGCATCCTAATGAAGACTCACCCGCTGCAGGGGGAGCTGGCTGATGCAACAGCACGTGTGTTTGCTACCCTGGGTGAGAGCCGCAGCCTTTTTCACTGCTTTAAATAACCTTTAGTATCTGAAGTTAGCATGTTTGTATTTGCTAAGAGGGAGCTTTATTAATCTTAACTGACCAGATTATTTATTTGTAAATATAATTATGAATTATTAAAGTTTTTACAACAAGCATTTTCAACAGAGTTCTCTTTTACTTAACGCTAAATAAATTGCATTTTGATTTACTTAATCACAAAAACTATATCAACAATCAAAACCCCAAAGTCAGAATGATTATGGAGACAAACTGCTGATTGTATGTAAATAGGCCAATCACGGCTCATTCCCATCTGAACTGAAGTCTCACTCCAGTGTTGACCGTCTGTAAAAGGGGTCACCTTTAGAGGTGGCAGTTCATTATGGGCTCAGCACATGATAAGCAAGTGCTTATTCATATTTGTATAAGCAAGAAAGGACATTAGGAGTGATGTGGATGAGAACATGTGGCCAAATGATGCAGAGCAGGAAGAGTAAACATTTACTGACTTTAGTTCTTTGCTAGACAATGTAAAGGTGCTGTTTTAGTTTATATTAGCATTGTTGTTTGTGAATAAATCAAGGAGTGTGTTTACATGCACTTAGTAATCTGATCATAGTCGGATCTTTGCAGTTATCTGATTATTCAAATGATCATGTAAACACCATACTCTGATTTTTTAGATCAGAGTTAGATTAAGAAATCTGATCAAGAGGCTGGATTTTAGCTCAGTAATCAGATTTCTCAGTGCTGTAAACTCTTACTCTGATTTCTTTCGGATTTCTCAGTCTGTGAAAATAGACGGCAGTATTGGAAATAAGCGAGCATCTTTGCCGGTTTGGAGCGACATTGAAACCGACAACATTCTTGACAAAATGAAGAATTTAAATATTCATCTTCTCTGTAATTAATGTTCATATTTTCAAGTTAACCCTTTAACAAACCAAGTTTACTACACACTTCTATAACCTAAGAATAGCTCCATTAGTTTGCGTTGAAGCCCCGTAGTTACTGAATAATAAGCTTTTGTATGAAATAAACCTGGACTAAAGAAAAGTGAGTTTATTGGCTGGTTGTAAAGCAGAAATCTGATTACCATCTGACTCGTGAAAACATGGAGTTTACCCATTATCTGATTTCCCAAATGCATGTAAATGCATTGATCGAATTACAGACAAAATCTGATTTTCTGCAGTTATCAGATTATTAAGTGCATGTAAACACACTCAATTTCAGAGTCTGTGGCTACAGATGACAGCGTGACAGCAGGTCTTGGTTTCTGTTCTCCCTTTTAATACTTAATGAAACGTGATTTAAAATTGTGAAGCCACAGATGTGTCTGTACAGCCAATCACTGTGTCTGTTTTACATTACGATTAAAAATATTCGTACAGTGTTTGACCTTTTTTTCTTTTAGCCAGCCACTGTAATTTTTTGCCTGAAAACCAAAAGTAACATGTTTACCATTTTTATAAAAACATTTCAGAGGCTGAAAGAGAAAAAAATCAGTGGCTGTGCATCTCTAATCACTGTAGCTGGACAGATACATAGATGTACTTCATTGTTCTCAAAGAGGGAAACATGGATGCTGTAGTAGCAAAACACACTGAACATTATATATGTATAATATATACACATAACAAATCGGCACATCATTTTTATAAATATACATACACACAACACACAGAGTCCAACACACAACAGCTTCATTCATATTAGGTGGTTCGCATTAAAACAAGCACAAGGAACAAACTCCAAAGCACAGAATGAGCAATAAATAAATACCATATACCATTATTATGTTATGGGATGTGGTTTATTGTTTGTTTACAAATTATGTTCTGTTGGTCATTGTGAAGTTATTATTGAATGGGATTATTGTACATTATGAATTAGTATTAGTATTATTATTAGTATTAGTATTATTATTATTATTAGTAGTATTATTAGTAGTAGTAGTAGTATTATTATTATTAGTAGTGGTAGTAGTATTGTGTAAATGTCTGTGTTTATGAATGTAAAGCATTCATTATGAAGATAAAGTATTGATCATTGTGTGAAATGCAGGGGACTGGACACAAGCTGCATCACATTTGAAACGCAGTGTTGCTGCTGTCCGTTGCCAGTTTGGGGAGGACAGTGTGGAGCTCGGCCAGCAGCTCTTTAAACTGACACAGCTGTATTTTAACGGGTAAGACCTAAAACTCACTCGCCTTTATTCTGAGATTTCTGATGGATGAAACTTTATTTCTAGATGATTGAGCAACATAATGTTATTGTCTGTGTGGTCAGTATACATGTACAAGTTGCCAGTTTATTAGGTACATTTACCTACAGCTCTTTGTCAATTTTATCAGGTATAGGTGCTTTCTTGTAGTTATACAAGTAGCCCATCTGTGTCTGGGACCTCCACTGACCAGATATTATATGAGTGTGTGTTAGTGTACTGGTAGGAGTTAATCAGACACAGCAGTTTCTGAGCATTTTACACACCTCAGTCTCACTGCTGGGTTGAGAATCATCCACTAACTAAAAAATCTGACGAACGATGATCCTGTTAAAGGTGTCCTTTACTGAACACTCATACAGGACATGGTGCAGTTAGGCAATTAAACTGGAACAACAGTTTTTATAGCACAACAATCTTGTAAAAGACCACCATTGGACCTCCTTGCTCCATTATTAATGATTTCACTTGTGACAATTTTTGCTGAAATAGACTAACTGAAACAGGGGGGTGATGAAACCAGAATTCCCACATTAGTATTTGGCATGACCACCATTTACCTGCAGCAGCTGACAGATTTTTCTATGAAAATTTCATTGAGTATATAAAGTGCACCTATATGGTTTTTGTACCTGATAAACTGACCAGTGAATTTCGATACAAAGAGATAAACCGGCCACTCAGTGTGTTTATCCTCCCATACACCATTACTTGAAATATGCTACGTCTTTAAACATATCACTGCTGTCGGAACAACACCTTGTATCTCTATAATGAGAACTTTACAGGAAAAGGAAAAAACCTGCTTCTCTTTTAATGGAACTCAGTGGAACCAGAGTTTTTTCCAAGTAATTTTGGGCCGTTTCTTTTGGTCCATTTAGCGTGAAATTTAAACACAATATAAAGCACAACAGGCTTTTTCAAATAATGTCAGAAACTGAAAAACAAAAAAAACAAAAATTGAGATATGAGGTTTTCTTCCGAGAATGCTTATTTTCTTTTCTTGTCTTTTTCAAACCCTGCAGAAGAGACAGGCAGTCTGCTCTGTCAGTAATTCCCACAGCTCAGCGTCTCCTCTCCCTCCACTGTGACCCTCACTGTGAGGAGCTGCAGGAGCTCCAGCAGATGGAGGCCTGCCTACACGGAGCAGAGTAGCACAAAGACATCCTCACTCACTCGTGAAGAAACTCAGTCTTCACAGGGTTTGGTGAAGTGTAGCCTCTGTTCTGTCAGCTTCGCTGTATTACACAGTGAGATTCAAATATATGGATGCATTTCTGAGACATTTTTAAATAAACATAACTCTCATATTCCAGACTGTAATATGGTCCTTCATTGTGGGCTGAACATATGGAGTTGCAGCAGAGCCGGTCATTAAGTTGAGACTGCTTTTTTATTGTTTTTGGTCAACAGGGGGCAGTCTTTATCAGCAGTGACCGTCCTTCCAAAGTGTTACTACAGCTAATCCCACACAGAGAAACCGTTGAAGATAGCTGCATTAGAGTAGAGTCAGAGATAAATCTCGCTGGACTGAAGATTGCTTATGTCTGCTTTAGGCCGTAGGACAGATTTATCTGTTTAATTTGGTCACCTGGATGTTTTATATACTGTACACTTGCTGACCAGAGCCTCTTCCCCAGAGTTATCAGTATAGTAGTAAGATTATCTCAGTTTCCTACGTGAGTGTTGAAAGTGATGGTGGTTTTGCTGTCTTATGATGATCTTTGTGATATAGTGTCCTTGAGAATGCAGCACTGAATGGGTATTTCAGGCTTTCATCTGATATAATAGTATTGCTTCATCCCACAGCCTAAATGGAAATAGAGCAGAAAAGAGTGCATCCAGTTGAAGAATCCTATTATCCAGAATGGATGTGTTATGCATTCATAGCAGAATAATTGGACTTCCTGTGGCACACGCGCTGCACTCCCTTTACTGTTTGTCATACTGAACACTAATGATGGCAGTGCTGCTTAGCCTCACTGCTGGAGACTCCCTGCCCTGAATCTGGTGCATTAGAACATATAGAAAGCATTAAACTGTTCTGCCAACAGGCCTCAGAGTGGGAGTTTAAAAACCACTGACAGACTCTGGGTCATCAGTTTTTTATGTGAAGGAATATACATTGATTTGTCTGTTTATTAGGTCCACCTGATAACATTCAGTGGCAGTTTTATTAGGTACAGGTGCAAAAGTAGAGGCTGTTGCAGCAAATGGTGGCCAAACCCCATGAATTTTTATATTTACATTTAAAAAACTGAGTAATCATACAATACATACTGTAGTAATGATGCTACAGATTAAGCTATTTATCATCACAGAAAGTTGCATATATTATACTATCCATAATAACTGAAATTACACAGTCAAATTCAAGTTTACCTTCCCTTTGAGCATCAATTACAGCTTGTAGCTTTTTGTGATAGTTGCGAATGAATGAATGCCTTTATTTTCTCAGGCGCCCCCTTTTCTGACAAGAAGCCATGAGGTCCTGTGAATTCTTTGGTTGCCTTGCATGTACTGCACGTTTGAGTTTTCCTTAAAGTGACAATGTGTTTGAGGCCCTGGGACCACGAGGGCCACCAGAACATTCACTTTCTTGCTTTGCAGACACTGAAGGGTCAACTTGGCCTTAGTGGAAAGTTCAAACCTGCCTCATGCACGGCTTCTGAGCTGATGTGTATTTACCTCTTAGATTTTCTGATAGTTTGCTGCATTCAATTTCAGACAACAATCCTGTGCTGCTGCTGCAGCTCAGCCCCCGACCACACCCCCCCCACCACCACCACCACACCAAAACAACATGCTTCATAGTAGGGATAATGTGTTTCTCTTCATGGGTCTTGCTGACTCCTGTTCAAACATAGCGTCTAAGGATGTGACTGTATAGTCTTTGTCTCAGTACTCCAGAATACTTTATTTCAGACACATTTAAATCTTGAGGAGTCTCTAAAAGCTGTCAGGTGTTCTGTAAGCCAGCTGTTTTGGTGTGTGGGTGCAAAAATGGCTGTTTTGTGGCAATTCTCTCACAAAAGGATTCAAGCTGTCATTGATGCTCAAGGGGTATGTAAACATGTGCCTGTGTAATTTTAGTTATTTCTGTGATCATCTGAGCACTACTATTAAATAAAAGTGTTTTGTATGATTATTCACATTTTCTAAATATAGTAAATTAAGCCAGGGGTATGTAAACTAATAAGCAGAAATTTATATGGAAAGTGTGTCTGACAACAGAGCGTATTCAGTGACCCACAACACTGCTCTATGGTTTAAAACAAACCTGTAGTTATGCTATAACTGAAGTTACATGTAGTTACATGTAGTTATGTTATAACTGAAGTTTGGGGGGAGGAGCGTTACTGAAACCGCTCCTTCTTCCAATCCAACACCCTATAAATTCACATCCTCATCTTCTGTTCCCGTGACCCCCCCCATCTCCTCCCTGTTCCTCAGCCCTACATCAGTCCTACTACAGCTATGAGGGGGTCCAGCCTTCTAGCTACAGGCAGAAGCTGCCCAGAACTCCAGTGCAGGTTCTCAGAGTTCTCCCCCTCCCTCAGTCAGTCTTCCCTCATACTACCACCATGTTGAAGGCACAGTCTGAGCTCACAAAGTCTCTAATAAAAGTGCAGAATTACTCTCACATCTGTGCTGTTTCACAATCACTAACTATTGTGATTATTTTCTGGGATCATGAAAATCACACAGCTACTGCCCACCTCTCCTCTGAACTGGTAGATGACTGGTTTGTTTGTTTGGGGACCAGGGGACAGCGGCCCTACTGTCCTCCGCTCCAATGACCTGCTGAGCATTAGTGGATATTTATGGTGTTTATCTTTGTTGTTGGTTTTTTCCAGTGGTTGGTTTGAGCCTCTGGTCAAGGCTCCTGAAACCGTACATCTTTGTAACAGTCAGCAGCTAATGTGATTATGGAGCTCAGGAGGACATGCTCTGTGCTTGTGACCTCACGCTCACCTTCAAGGCTCAAAACAAGCAATGCTCAAAACGAAGACCATAAATAGAAAGAACACCATTTACTACTGAATCTCTCCTCACTGTATGTAATATTGAACCAGTATGTGCTGTAATTCAGAACTCACACTGCATCTTTTACATACATTTTTTGTTGCTGATGCTGTTCTAATAATACATTTTAAATTCACTGGAAACATTGTGGTGAGAAACTTTCAGAACATTAATTTGCAGTCATTGAAACACGTGACCCCTCAGTATAGCGACAGAAATGTAGTCATAAGCGTGCAGCTCATTCTCCCACACACATGGGTTCCCCAGTCTCTTTATCGTCAGCGAGGGAATTCCCATAGTGACAGCAATGCCCAGCAGATTTCATATCTGCAGGCTCTGTCCGCATGGATTACAGCACAGCACGGATGGACTGCCTTCAACTGTGGCCTGCGTCCTGACATGTGGCGTTCGCTTATAGAACAGAGGTCAGAGCTGTGATTCGAGGGAAGCAGGGGGAGATATAATGTCCATGTTTATGGCCGAGTCCTGTACTGTATTTATTAGGCCTGCATAAAATGGACCAAATTTCATTTCGCAAATACACTCCAAGATATTGCAATATATTCTACAATAAATTAGAAATCATTTGTGAAGCCTTAATGTGACAAGAATTGAGGTGGGCCTGTTTTTTGAGCAACATCCCACTCTATACCATCCTCGACCCAGCCCAATTATATTATAAGCAAGAATGAATCCTCAGCATTGTAACTATCTAACTAACATAAAAACGTAACATTCAGTCAGATGTTTATATTAAAAGATTCTGCTAACATCAATACTGAATGCTGAAGAAGTGACTACAAAATGACCAAGGAGCCCCTGAACTGGAGACTCGCTGAGTGAATGTGTGTGAAGAGGGCTGGATCTAGCCTTTTGAGGGCCCGAAGGGCAGGATTTTAATTTTTAACATTTTTTGGCTCCCATTTTGACGGTTAATGTACTGTTTAAGTAGAGACTAACTAATAACGATGGTTACCCAAATCTCTCTAAAATCTACATTTATAACTGGCTGGTTTGTGTATTGCTGATGATTGGAATCCTTGATCAGGGTTTTGTGAAGCTGAAATTTAGCCAAAAAAGTCTGTCCAAGTTGGACCTGCTTTGTTGGACAGACCCCAGATCCAGACAACATAATGATACAGCAATAACCCAGATTTTATTAGGGGGTCCTCTGGTGGCCACGGTGCCCTATGTTGCTTATTAGGTAGAGCTGTCACTGTCCACGTGTAAACTGTTCATGGGCTTCAAATGACTTACAAATTCTAAATAGCTCAAAAGAAAAGGCACTAACCCTTAGGACCCATAGGTCACGTCTAGCCTTCATAACTTCAGAACAGTTTAAGATACAAACATGATTCACATATCAGGACGTTCGGCAGACCCGCCCCTAACTAGCAAGCATGATCGAGCTGTGACATCAGCATCAGTGAATAATTCGTTTTAGAAAATCACCTAAAATCCTGATATTATTGCTTTGCTGATTGGCCTTCATATTCCAGCAAAGGGTTAAAACAGCGACACACACATCAGATCATCATCAGACTCTGCCTCACCATCTAGAGTGATTTCATCCACCTGTGACCGTCCATCAGCCAGAGATCAGCTCTAAAATCTCCCAAACCCACTCACTACTGTTATATTAAATCTCTGGTTTTAGCCTTCATATTATAAACAAAGGGCTTTCAGTTTACATTGATTTTGAGTATTAAAAATATCTGATATTAAATATGCAACTTAATTTGTATTTAAAAATAAAGCCAGTCTTGCTGTGTATCAGAGTTTTAGGACATCAATAAAAAAGAAAATTAATAAAAAACATGTCCGCCTTACGCTAATTGTTTACTCATAATAACCAATAAAATGAATCAACATCAAAATTATTGCACTTTCAGCTCACAGACACTCCAGACTGACAATTTCTGAAAAGATAACTACAACTGCACTTGTTTTCAAGATCTCTACAATTATTCAGCAGGCGCTGGGTAAATTTATGATCAGAAATGACCCAAATTCATAAAGATATCAAATTTCTGTTAGCATTTACATAACAAACAATGGTATATCTGAGCAGCCCAGGGTCTCCTGAAAATAACAACATATGGCCTGTGTGACTGCCACATATAAATACTTTAGAATTGTAATCGACCCAAAATACCAAAAACCAGCCAGGAAAAAGTCTCGGGATGAAAGAGGAGGTAGCATGTCCAGATCATTAGCCCTCGCTTTGTGACTGATTTTATCCTTCTGCCATTCTTTTCAACTTTCTGGAGTTGGTT